CCTTCAATGGGGAAAGTAACTGGTCTCATTTCCGGGTATTCTCAGAGACTGAAGTTTTCCGTATTTTTGTTGAGGTGCTTTTATTTCTGTGGACTTACAGTTTACCTATATATATCTTCATAGCAGTTCTGCATTGCAAGAGAGACAAACTCTTGCACCTTAGAAACATATTAATTAAGTTGAAAATGTATTTTGTAGCATCTAGCAACTATATACTTTAACAAGTTAATACTGATAGGCATGAGCTCTCCTGTGTTGCTTGTCTAAAGAAAAAGGAAGCGTGAATATGTAGGAACTGTCTCCTGTTGTCTACTTGTCTTTACCATTTATTTTAAAAACTGGTGACAACATTTGCAATGAGGGAGAGAGCGAGACCAGCACTTCCAATTTGATGAACTTGTTATGAGATAATAGGAAGAACTTGATTTTGTTTTCCCTTCAATGAACATAAGTTGAAGTATATTAGTGACCTAAATAAATTAAGCATTTCTCAGCTAAGGAATCTTGTTTGAGAAATTCTTACTTCTTTTGAATCATTCAGTCGATTTTGTAAGATAATTGTAATGAATGACATGAATTTAGTGGACCACTTAATGTTAATAAAGTATGGTAATTAATTGGGTTCACTCCTGGAAGCTCTCACTTTTGGTCCTTTTAGTTAGATCATAACCAGAAAAGTCCACTGTCTTAAGTGTCTTGTGGTCAAGAGTCTTTTTGAATCACATGTATATATTAAAGTTTACTCCTTGATATGTATGCCAAAGCTGGTAAAGTTCATGACGTTCGATGTGTTCTTGAAGGCCTGCCACAAAGAGTTGTTGTCTCCCGTACTGCTTTAATCTCAGGCTATGCTCAACAGGGACTAGATGAAGATGCACTAGAGCTTTTCGCCAATTACATGCAGAGGGAATGTCTTCCAGTGGAGGATGTTCCTTGAGAGCTTGATATTTGCATTGTGGTTCTTGCATATAATGGGGTAGAATTTTCTAATGGACTCCTAAAGCAGCTGTCAGCTATTTAGTAGAAGGAAGGAAACATAACCTACTGAAACCACATGTCTCAGTTGTCAATGATTACAAATTTAATAACCACAGCTCTTAGTATTTCTGCTTATATTGAAATGATCAGCTCTTTAAAGTGTTTGGTTATCAGGAATTTCATTGATTGAAGATGCCTGCACTGGTAGCCTCAGATCATCGACTGGAATTATGATCGATCACTTGAAATGCTGAGCTATTTTATCCAAACCAGGTTTGCTTGGTTTTAGTGTTCAGATTTTCACACGCATATGTAGAAGTTATCCTGCTTCTTCTGAATACTTGTTTGGAGAAACAATGATTGAATAAAAACTTATGTAAAAATAGCACGGTCTAGCCAGTTTTTGGACTGGTCATTCAAAAATAGCCAGCGTTTACCAAGTCAATGAAAAATAGCCACTATTTTGCTGCAACAAAGACCGATCTGGCATAATATACTGGAGTTCGGTGCACCTGTGTATGAACTTCCAGCATATTATGCTGGAACTCCAACACACGGAAAGTTCTAGCATAATATACTGGAGATTCGAGCACCTGTGTATGAACTTTCAGCATATTATATTGGACCGGTATACTTTGCTGGAACTCCAATATATTATGCTGGAGTTCAAGTATACTTAAGTTCCAGCATAATATACTGGCGTATTTTTCGGGTTTTGAACAGTGTTTTCGCTCAAATTTATCTTTACATAAAAAGTGGCTAAATTTCGATTATTTTTGAAACTGGGCTATTTTTGAACGACCACTTGTAAATCTGACTATTTTTGAATTTCTCCCAAAACTTATTGGTGCCTTAAATAAGTGGAGACTATCCCTTCCATGCACCGTTTGGAACACCGTATATTCATGAACTAAATTAAATTCTAAAATTCGTCAATTCCTAAAATAAACTAAGTTCAGGATTCATCAACATGTTATGAAATTTGTTTGCATGATATAAGCTCTAATTTTCCTTACAAAAAGTAAAGGGGAAAAAATTACTGTACAAAATATGCACAACCTTAGTTAACTGTACCAAAAAAAATTATGAAAGAAGTTATTTTGTACATCTGCTTATTTTTCATGTTCAATTTCTTTACTTTGGAGATGTGTAACTGTTATCTCTAAAACGTATCCTTTTCTTAGAAAAAAGAATTGAGATTCTGGCTCCTCGGTCATCGTTAAATTCTAATTTGGTTTTCATGTTATCTAAGTTTGGTATAACACCTTTTTTCAGCATAACAAAAAGAGCAGGTTTCATATGGTTAAGATATGTTAGAATTTTGTTTTAAAAGTGCAATTATCTTTTTTTTTTTTTTTTTCTATTGTTCTATTCGTTGGAAGGATGGAAGAAAATAATTTCAACATAACATCAACGCAAAATAATTCTACCATGTTTGGGGGATTAGAAAAATAATCCCTACATAATTTACTTAGGGGTCGTTTTGTACATAGAATAAGGATAATAATCTCGGGATAAAGTTTGAGATTAATTTTATTTTATATTTTTGTTGGGATATTAGCTAATTCCGGAATAATTTTACACTAAAATGGTGGAGTTAATTATTCGATATAGAAGGAGGGATAATTAATTCCATGGGATATGGCACCCATGAGATATTCTGGGATATACCATGAAATATTTTGAACATGAAATATTTTGAAATATCCCACCGTCATATCTAACAATCCCTTTAGTGTTTGATTGGCCGCATAAGAAAAAGTAATCCCCCCGTAGTCTTATGTAACTTTGGTTGGTGTTATTAAATAATACTCACGGTAAGTTAATGGGAATTTATACGTTATATTATGCGAGGTATAATGCGAAACAAAAATACTTGTATTAGTAATAAAATTAACAAAAAAGGTCCAAAAATATTCCTAAACTATGGTATATAGCTCACTTTTGTCCTCAGTTAGTAAACTGGGCCAAAAATATCCTCCCCGTTAGCACAATGGGCCTCTAATGTCCTTCAACCTAATAGCCCTCCACACAAGCCATTTTAATCCTACATGGCATCCATGTAGCTGTGACATGGCAGCCACATAAGCGGGCAGCCTTCTAAACGCACTCCGAAGCCCATTTCCAAACAAAGATCTAGCCATAACCCCACCTCCAAACCCCATTTCATAACAAAAATTCAATTTCTTCCTAGACCCAATTTCCCTTCAAAATTTCTACTCTAATTTCCAAATTTCTGCTCAAATCTCCATTTTAAATCTTTGATCACCATCACCGCTCGACGAGATTTGAGCAGAAATTTTGAAGGGAAATTGGGTCTAGGAGGAAATTGGATTTTTGTTATGAAATGGGGTTTGGAGATGGGGTTACTGCTGCCCGCTTATGAAATGGGTTTTTGTTTGGAAATGGGTTTCGGAGCGGGTTTAGAGGGCTGCCCGCTTATGTGGCTGCCATGTCACAGCTACGTGGATGCCATGTAGGATTAAAATGGCTTGTGTGGAGGGCCGTTAGGTTGAAGGACATTAGTGGCCCATTGTGTTAACAGGGAGAATATTTTTGGCCCAGTTTACTAACGGAGGACAAAAATGAGCCATATACCATAATTTAGGGATATTTTTGAACCTTTTCCGTAAAAATCAAAACTATCATGTTACTTGCATTAGTAATACATAAATTAAAATGCACTTAATATAAGTAATCTCGACTAATGTCTTAATTATTAATCACTACATAACGTTCCTACATTTTCCCAATCTCTTAAACATTATTCATTGCATGAATAATTTCTACATTATAATATCGTAGCTAACGACCAAAGGAATCACTTATATCACAAGTTTACAAGCGGAATTAAAAAATAGTCAGATTTACAGGTATTAATTCTCACAGTTTCAAAAGTAATTGTAATTAGCCACTTTTTACGAAAAGATAAATCTGAACGAAAACACTGTTCAAAATCCGGAAAAATATTCCAGCATAATATATTGGAGTTCCAGCATAATGTGCCGGAAGTTCATACACAGGTGCTCCAATCTCCAATATATTATGCTGGAACTAGGGGTGTTCATGGTTCGGTTTGGATCGGTTTTTCCCTAAAAAGAAACCAAACCAAGTAAGTCGGTTTTTCAAATATTAGAACCAAACCAACCCAATTAAGTCGGTTTTTTCTCGAATCGGTTTATGTCAGGTTTTGTCGGTTTTGTCAGTTTTTCGGTTATTTGTTGGTTTTTTCTTAAATATAAGACATACACTACAAAACACATATATTCCGGCGATCACATTTTCAACGTAACACTATCAAATCAATTGCCCTTTGAGAAATCTATTATTTACTAAAATATATTGATGATAATTGAATCAAATAGTGATGAATAATTTAAGGAATCAATTAAAAAATATTTTTTTTAACATGAAATGGATTCTTACACTTAACAAAAGAAAACTACTAATCAAACTAGAATATAAAGGTAAAAAAATGTACTAAACGTGCAAACGATTAACATTCACCATAAATTTTTTGAAACTTTGTATAAAGATATACATATATATAGGTGTAATAATAAATTTGAAATAGCTACTCCTATAGTCGGTTTGGTTCGATTTTTTCGGTTATTTTTTTATTAGAACCAAAACCAAACCAAATTTGATCGGTTTTTAAAATTTGATCGGTTTTTTCGGTTTTTTGGTCGGTTTGGTTTGGTTTTCGGTTTGGTTCGGTTTTTCGGATTTTTATGAACACCCCTAGCTAGAACTTTCCGTATGCTGGAGTTCCAACATAATATCCTGGAAGTACAGAGATGCACCAATCTCTAATATATTATGCTGAAACTTGCAAAATAGTTGCTATTTTTGAATAACTTTACAAACTCTGGCTATTTTTCAATTAACAATCCGAAAACTGATTAGCCGTGCTATTTTTACGTTGTAATGGCAAGTGTTTTTTCCAACTAAATAAGGAGTCTCCACGTGTACTCGTTATTAACTTGATACAAAGAGCCACACTGGACCAGAGAACGACGCCGTTGAAGCCGTCTTCTTCGAGCAATCCTTAGAAAACGAATACTGTGCAATAGAAAACCCCCTAATCAATTCAAACTCTATTTACTTTCTCTCTGTACTTCGTAACAAAATGCCGTCCGCGAAACCCTTCGCGACAGCCGCAGGCATGCTCCGGGCCCGTCTCTGTTCGGGCCTCCGAACAAGAGGAGGACACGGCCCGAACCCGTTCACTACTCCGGGCCACCAAGAACGGCCCAACGGCTACCTCTTCAACCGCCCACCACCTCCACCTGGTCAGTCAAGGAAATGGGAGGATTGGGAACTCCCTTGCTACGTCACCAGCTTTCTCACTATCGTCATCCTCGGTGTGGGCCTCAACGCCAAGCCCGATCTCACCCTCGAAACTTGGGCCCATCAAGAAGCCCTCAAACGACTCGAGCTTGAATCTGCTGATGCTGAGTGATCTCTCTCGATCTATATCCGTGTTGGTATGATTGTTAAAGCCGGCCCCTTTTTGGGGTTTTCTAAATTAGGTTTTCGAAAGAAGGATGAGAATTCCTCTGTGGATAGTTTTTTTGGTTGATAATGTCGAAAATAAATGTTAACTATATGACTTGGGAAAATTGGGCCTTTACTTGTTTTCATCAGTTTACTGCAAAATTTGGACAATCAGTGCAGCAACTATGATGTTTTCTTGCAGGGGCAATTGACATTCTTTTTAATTTACATCTTTTTTGGAATTTGTGGTAAGGCTGCGTACAATATACCCTTGTGGTCCCATCCTTTTCCGGACCCGCTCATAATGGGAGCTTAGTGCACCGGGCTGCTCTTTTTTTGGAATTTGTGTCGCCTTTTATATTATGTTCGAGATTATGTTCGAATTACATCATGTTTGGTGGTTAAGAGCTTAGTTTAATAATGCATTGTTGATAAAAATACTAGCTTGTATGAAATTTGTAGGATAACAGGCAGCTATATTAGTATGTAAATGATCATACATGTGTGGTGGTCGAATGATTAGTTTAGGCAAGAACTACATTCACAAGGGTTAATGATCATGTGATTCCTACTGCTCACGGGCAGGTGTACCGCATAAGTTGGGGTGAACCGAGTAGCTTTGGCTTAGACCCTGTATATGTTAAGAAATCTACCAAATAGATTTCGAATCCAGTAACTCTAATGGTTAATGGGCTCAGTGGCAACCCGAACCCATAAAGTAAATGCTGGATCCACCTGTTATGGATCTCGCTTTAGAATATTTTTTCACTTATTCCCTACTGTTATAATTACGAATTCTAGCTATGTATTACTTGAGATGTGATGCTCCTAAAAATTGATTTTGCTTTCTTCACCTCTTTTTTCTTGGATGGTCTAAAATAACTTTATCGATGATAGGACGATTTCTTGTATACATATGGTATACCAAGAAGTAGAGAACCTACAAAAACATAGAATCCTCTAGGAGAGACACCATCTTCGACATAAAAAGGAACGATCTTGCGTTCTTCACTTTTTAAGTTATTCCTACACTGTAGTACTTCTATCCTACACTAAGATTGTTGCTTGAATGCCTGGGCTTAAATTAGAGTCTTCTGTTCGATGGGTGAGTAGAGGCATTCAAGCGGTGGGGGCCAACGCGCAAAGGTTAAGCTATGTGCCTCTGATTCTGCTTGCTCTTTAATTAGTTTTCATGTATGGAGAAATTCTAGGCAAAGAGTTGGAACTCCTGTATGATGTTGCAACGGCTGCTTTTATGTCATTATCAGAGTTAGTCGGCCCTAAGAGGCTTGAAGTTTCAAGTACTTGTGGTTTTGAGCTATGTTGCGCGGACTCTCCAAAGTATAGCCGCACCCGTGTGGGATCCTTCAAAAATGCACTACTTTTGGAGGATCCGACACGTATCCGACCACATTTTCGGAGAGTCCAAGCAACATAGGTTTTGAGAGCCTTGAGAATGGCCATGTTGTCTAGGATGTTCATGTTTGGTTGAAGTTCTTCTAAGATAAAAAGATGTGCTAAGGCTGAATCTGACACGATTGTTGGATGAAAAGGTCGAACGAAATGCAATGCTTAGTCTCATTATATGCAGTACACTTACGTGCATCCGTCCCAATTAAGGTGTTTTTCATGTCTAAGTTGGTAGAAATACTCCAGAATATTGATTATGGTAATGCAGAAGTTGCAATAAGCATCTCATCCCTAATTTGGCTCAAATGTGATTTTTGTTGTCATTTCATACAATTAGTTAAGTAGTTATACTTCCCAGCAGCGTTGTTAACGGACTTCCTTAAGACACACTTAAGCTATGATGGTAAGTTGCATCGTTGATTGTGCACTTCACCTCAGTTAGGTTGTGCTTTAATGCAGTCACCAGGGCGCTTAGGCGTGCGCTTCATGCCCATGGGCTCCCTCATGAAGGGGTAGACTCTAAACAATAAATATAGAAGTCAAAGCAATTAAGTAATTGTTAAGTATCCATTATGAGTGAATATATTAGTAAATCGGAAGGGGATACTAAGAATTTAGTTTAAAAGGCAGTTATTACATCTGATAGAAACTTTGAACTGCATTTTGCAACTCAAAGTAATTAAATAGGTCTTAAACTTGATTTACATGATGTTTATTTTTTATTTTTCCTTTTTTGCACCTTTCTTCACTAAATCTCATGTTTTATTGTTTTAGTATTCTTTGTGCTTAAAACAATAGCAGTCTTTAGCGCTTTCTACAAGGTCTTGCCATTGAATAGCTTTTGCTCTATGTTTTTACATATGTTTATTAAGGCAGATGGTGAATTTCATCTCCTGGGACTTCCATTCATGATAGCTAAGATCATCCTATTTCTTAAAACTCTTCCTAATAATTTTTTATTTTGCTTTAATATAAATGAATTGATTTAAACTAAGATAAACTTAATATAGTGCTTTTAATTAGATGTGGTATTCTTTCTTGTTTTTGGAAAACTGCAATTTTTAATTTTAAATCTCTTGGTATGGTTGAAACTGTATTAGCTGGATCAATTCAATGAGCTAGCTTAACAGATGTAGAGTGTTGAGGGTTATGTTCTGAATTATCAAGTTGGTAGTTGTTTATACCTGTGGAATGTTTTGCTGCATTTTTTGTTCATTCTCTGAACATTTTCCTTTGGCTAGATAGACTGAGTCTCATCGTTGAAGTTGTGTGATTATGTTACTTGGACATCCACTTTTAGCAATTTAAAGATCTTTGCTATGAAGGAACTCTTTCTTTTATGAAGTACATTTTTATTTGGATTGAGGTGATTATTTTTTTGGGTAAGGAATATGTCATCCTGGATCAATTTTGAGGACTAACAACTTATGACTTACGACTGTGATAAACTGTGTAAAGCTTTTGTGGCTTGAATAGTTAAACTCGGATTCTCTTTTTTGCTTCTTAACAGAAAGGATATGTCAGAGTCAGTAGATATAATCTTTGGTTTAACCTGTAGTGGCTATATCATCCAAGGATGTCGTTTGTGCTACTTGTAAAATTGTTAACTATTCATAGCTTGGCTTTCCTGAAACCCACTTATGGGACTACATTGGGTATGTTGTTGTATTCATAGCTTGGTCTAGGCAAGAAAAATAGATGCTTTTAAGGGGATGTCATGTGAGGGAAACAATTATTTACCTATCATTAGCTTGGGAACATAAAGGGGCAGACTACCTAAGCAAGACGATGATCTTGCTTTTGGAGCAAATTGTTATGGCTTATTCTGAATATTCCTTCAACGAAGGACATCAAACATGCACTTGTATTTGTATGAATATAGATACATATCATGATAGAGCATGAGATGACTAGAAGTTAGGATGTTGGGCTTAGTGATAAACAGGTTACAGCATTGCATAAAAGCTCCTTTTGATCAAGGACCTGCACTGTCGGATGAGATGGCATCCTTGCCTTGTTTCTGTTCGTACCCAACTGTGTCATAGATGTATAAGAGATGTGTGCTTTAGCCAAACATATGATCTGTACTGTATCAATGTTCTTATTTGAACTCGATAGCTCTTTGCAGTATTCTCGTGAGAACGAGTAAAGTTTGGTTGTTATAATTGATCGATTAAGTTCTTAGCCTAACTTCTTGCTTGGGATAGACGTGGACTGGATTGTTGGATGGACGAGTGTAGTCATATACTTGTCTCGCAAGGTATTCTGGTGTGTAAATGAGATCTCCTTTGCGTCAAGCAGTTGTAAATGTTCTACATTTGAAGAGTTGCAAGGAAAAAACTGTAGGCAAAGTGCTGAAGACTTCCCTAATTTTGTGTTTATTGGAGTGTCAACTGAGCCGAACCTCGAAAACGTCACTCAATTCATGCTGATAAACCTGAGATCCAACAACATTGTTTGTTCCATGAGGAGAAAGTGTGTAGAATTGTGCAGTCTTCCACTTTCAGAATGAAGTCTTCCACATTGTTTGTTTCTCATGAGCTGGTGACTCAAATGATGGCTAGTCTGATGAAATATGTGCATCTAATTTCTAGAGTAGCTGCTTGCATAAGCCATAATAATTCGAAACTGCAGTATCATAAATTTCACATAAGTAGATTGAGACCATACTGTCAGTCTTGGTATAGTTGAGTAGACACAGCTTTTGCTATCCGGTATAGTTTCTCAGACAAGCCATGCAGCCGTATTATGGGTAATTTGGTTGCACACTTCAGATTGCACTTGTTTAGTAGATGTCGCAAGGTTTACTTTTTTGATATATACGTCAAAGATTGATTATCCAACACTTCAATCTTAAGCAAGTTGAAGTCTGTTATATGGATCTTCACTGCAGCGTTTAAGCTCATTTCTTTAAAATGAAAACGTAAAAAAGCTCTATATATTTATACAGTGTAAATTTCTCATATAACTAACTCTTAAAAAACATACGAGAAAATGAAATCTTACAACATGTGGCACTACCAGAAAATTAACATTTCCTATATTCATTATGCAATTCTTCTTTTTCTTCACCATTTCAGGCTCCGAAAGAATAACAACATTTGTCCGTTTCAATGATTTCAAACGTACAATTGAGCTTGAACTGGACTAAATCAACTCATTCTTTCCTTATTACAGTAAGGAAAAATAAATGGTGTAGATAGCTTATATATTGTATTTATTATTCGTAGCTATACTTTCAGAAAATTACAATTAATAGCTATATTTGAATTTTATATCAAATTCATCTGTATTTCTGTATTTTAAGGGAGGAATTTTTTGGCAAATCCCTGTATTTCTGTATTTTGCCTTGAGTATTGATGATAGGTTATAATTACGTATTTTAGTCGCTTATTACGCTCTTATTTACTGCACTTCAATTGCGTTTGAGCTTTAATCGCTAGTGTTTTGCACTAAATAATGTATTTTATGCCTTGTAGGGTAATTCCGAGCTATGTAGATATTATGAGATGAATTCAAGTGATTTGGAGCTTTGAAGTCTCAGTAAAAACCCAAGGAATTAAGCCGGGAACGTGTTCGGGGATCAATGGATGATAGTTAAGAACGAAACGGAGAATCGAGCGGGCATACGACGCATTGTCTAGTAAAATGCACATAACTTTTCGCTCAGAACTCCGTTTGGGCTCCACAATATATTGTTGGAAAGCTATTTGAAAGAGCTTCAACTTTCATAGTTTGCATTTTTGCTAGTTCCCACTACCGCGGTGCATGGTGCGGCGCCTATGGAAATTTCCTACAGCCTGTCAGAATCAGCTCTCTAAACTTTCCCACAAGCACACTGC